TTGCCAGCTGCCTTCGTTGCCAAAGGGTAGCGAGGAGGGGCCTCCTCCGGGGGCGGCGCGCATGGAAGCAATTGGGAGCGGAGCCGACCCAGTCCCTGGAGCCTCCTTGGCGTGGCCGGCATGCTACGCCGTCGCGGGGTCCGAGGGACGGGCAGTGCTTATCCTGCCCTCCACCCATCTCGGGGCCCCGTGCAAAATGACACCAAAGCACGTGGTCGGGGCACTGCGCAGGGATACGCCAGCTCCTCCCAGCTGCTTGGAGGTTTGTGTTCAGTGTCACCTGCAAGTCACCAGCTGTCTCATGCATGGCACCCTGGGCAGAAAGATTGGCCATGGGGGGAGTCCAAGGTAGGGCAAAGCCTCGGGGGAGAAGGAGGCAGCATGAAGGGCCGGCAGTGGCTGCTCCAAACGGCCACTGGCAGGAGATGGGTCCCCGGGCGATCGTTTGGGGAACGAGTTGGAGTGCCATAAAGCCGCGGCGTTGGCAGCCGGCCCAGTGTCTCTGCTGTTGGTTTGAAGATTATTGCTGAGACATCCCGGCCACCCTGGGGAGCGGGACGGGGGGGCGTCAGCACGTGCGTGCGGGTGGGGTAGACAGAAAGCGCCGGCTGGAGAATCGGCGACAGCTTCGTCTCGGGTTGCTACTGGTGCCTGGGCGTCCCTAATCCACACCAGATCCATGACGAGGGCCGGAGGCTGTTTCTGCCTTCACGCGCCACGCTCGACGGACCGAGGGGCACGGGGAAGCCGGGGAGAGGGACAGGGGCTCTGCACGTGCATGTAAAGCTGCCATGGGATGCTCTGCCCCTGCCCTGGGCTACTTCCAGCTCCCAGGAGTGCGTCCTCCCCTCCCGACTGCCTCGGGCTCGGCGAGCGCCGAAGCCTGGGGCCCGGTCCTCAGCGGGGTTGCACCCCTGCAGAGCTGGCTGTGAAGCATGCCGGCTGCTGGGCCCAGGGCAGAATCCACGCCGTTCAGCTGGTGATGGAGCGTGCCCGCATTGCGTGCATCCTCGGTTTGTTTGGCTACCAGTCTGCAGAGTCTGGGCACACGGCTGTAGCGCGGCCCCTGCCCCAGAGACCCTCCAGCCAGGAAGGCGAGCGGTGCACTAGCAGTACAAACGGCTTAGAGCTAAAATAGGTAGGTAGAGACCTAGGAAGCAAAACTTAGAAGAACAGGCTGAAAGAGCGAGGGCTGCTGAGTGGAGAAGTGAAGACAGGGTTTGGGTTTTCCGCTGGGCGCACCCGGCATCTGAATGAGACTAAAGTTTGCAATTTCACGTCGACCAGAGCTTCGTCGAGATAGGTGCGTGCGCAGCAAGGCCGGGGCTGGGCTGTAGCACGCAGCCTTGCTGCCAGGCTGTTCTCGCAGTAACAGAGCGGCTCAAGCCGTGCCCATGCCCTGAAATCAAATCTTCGCCCCGAAATCAAGCTGTCTGGTTAAGAATGACATTGGAAGGGGCTACAGAATTCACCCACCGCTTCTGACTGTGCTTTAGCAGCCAGGCAGCGATCGTTACTTTAATAAATGAAAGACTCCAGTCTGCTGCCAGGGGCTGGGATCGTGACTCAGTCTTCACGCCTTCTCTGAGCAATGGATCTGAGTGTGGGCAAAGGAAAGCCAGTCCCTGAGGTTCCTGGTTCCAGCTTCCCACACGAGCCCGATCCCCGTGACTTCTGGCTGTGGGGGCAGAGCTGGTGCCATGGGGCATGGGGGCAGGGGAGAGCATCCACCCCATGACCAGCCTCTCTGGATCCCCAGATGCTTCCTGAGAAGCTCGTGCAGTGGCTGAGGCTCTGGGTTTCCCGAAACATGGTAGTTTAATGATTCCTCGGTGCAGGAGGGGTTGTGCTCAGGGGGCTTGGAGACCCGGCACCTGGGAGGAGGGCTGCTTGGGTGCTGTCGGGTGGGCCTGCAGCCAGGTCAGGCTTGGTGCCCGTTATAACAGCTGCTCATTAACCCCAGGACTGCCCATTCCTGATCTTGCTGGGCTGTGTCCAGCTCTGGCTGTTGGTCATTGCTGGAGGAGCTGGTGTGGCCAGAGGGAGGGGCAGGTCAAAGGGCAGCTGTCCTGGGATTTGCAGTCGTGCATTAGCTCGGAGGGAGGGGGCATGCTAGAAGAGGTGATCTGCGATGGGGGCGCAGGGCTTGCTGCCAGGCAGGGCAGGGGAGGCCCCCGGGTACCTGGTGCCGGTTGCAGAGGGCCACCCCCAGTACTGCACTCACTGCCCTGGCTCCTGGACCCATCCCATCCCCATCTGGCCCCATAGGCCGGGAGCATCCATGCATCCTTCTGGGTGTCCGCGTGCATCTGAGCCCAGCTGCAGTGGAAATACCAAGCGGGGCCTGCTCTGCATGCCGCAGACCTTTGGCACCGGGACAGCCCGGCTCAGAACCAAGGCCCCGCCAACGCCACGCGGCAGCTGGGAGCGGGTCGTAGGGGGCTCAGGGTCCGGGCAAGGGGGAAGCTGCCGTCCCCTCCGGCACCCTGCGTGTGCCGTCAGTTGTTCCTCTGGCTGCCCCAGCCAGCCGCGAGGGCCGGGCCCGGAGAGATGCATGAATCCCGGAACCACCTGTGACTTCACAGAGCAAGTATGTGGTGGAAAATAGCGCCTGGCCGGGCGCGGAGCAAGCACGCAGCTGAGGGTAATTGCGGCCGCGCGTCCTCCCGGCGCCGGCTGGGCCAGCGGGAATGGCCTCTGGCACTGGGAATCCTCCTCCCCTAATCCGGGGCCGCCATGCCCAGACACTCGCGTCTTGCAGCCATGGGCGGGACAGGCGCAGGGCAGGGGCACCGTTGCGCTGTGCACCGATGGGTGCTCGTGCTTTAGGGTCAGCGGGCAGGTCAGGCACGAGATTTGCACCCACGGTCACGCCAGCTAGGAGTATACGTAAACCCCCTGCCTCTATCCATGCCTGGAGACCTGCACACGCTGGTACCCTGCAGCGGGCACAAGCTAATGCCCACGCCCATCGTTTTTCACTTCTCTTGGGCAGAGGAGCAGCCTCAGGCTTTGTGCGGGCTCAGGTATTAGCGTATCCTGGCCCTTGTGTGCACGGTTAGTGCGGCCACAGGGTCCTCTCTTCCTCTGGCATGGGGAGGCTGAGCCCTGCCGCGTGCACGCAGCCCTGTTTGGGGTTTGGTTGAACAGAGGGACGATGAAAGAGTCCAGTCAGCTGCTAGGGGTGAGATCGTGACTCAGTCTTCACGCCTTTCCTGAGCCGGGGAACGGAGGGCGAGCGAAGGAAATCGGACCAGAGGGAGCACGTCTGAGACGACTGTCGGCTCTCGGCAGCAGCTGTCCGGCCAGGGGGCACAGCCTGCGTCCGCAGCGTCCGTTCCAGTCCCTGCGCCTCGGCCCGTGAAATGGTGTGAAGTGACCCCATGCATGCAAGGTGGGGGTCTCCTGGAGAGGCGAAGCGCGAGGGGCCTAGGGACGTCGCACCCGGGGCACGCTCCCCTTCCCCGCTGCTTATAAAAACAGACGAGTTGTGAGCGAGTGTCGGGGCCGCCGTCTGAACCCCATCCCGCCCCACCGCCGACGGGTAATGCTGGAGACACGGATGTCAGGTGCAGCCGCAAACCCCCTGCCCCGAGAGGGGTGGGTGCCTCGTGCCTCGCTGGCGCTTGGGCAGGGCTTGCCCCGGCTCCGTCCCCCTGCCCTTGCTGCTTTGTCACAGCACAGCTGGGGCTAGGGGGGACCTGCCCCATGGCATCCCTGGCGCCAGGCCAGCTCCTGGACTCGTGTGTCTCGTCCTTCTTGGGCCCAGCCTGGCATCCCTTTCCCTGGTGACCCCGGCTTCTCCTCCCGAAGCCCGTCTGCCCTGGAGCTAAGGGGCTGCTTCCTAAGAGAGTTCAAGAGCATCTCGTTCTGCATAGACATGGTTCAGTGTTACGGGCCCAAGCCTTCCCCACCCGTTAGGCATTAATCCACTGGCGCGGTCCCACTGCGGCCCCGGGAGGGTGCCTGGAGCCCGGGCAGCGGGGATGAGCGTCGGCTTGGTGGGGCTCCTTGACCCCAGGCCGCTCCTCCCTTCTCCCAGGGGCGAGGGGCATTTTGGCAGCCAGGTAGGAAGCCGCAGAGGCTGCCCCGGAGCTTGAGTTCCTGTTGCAACCCGTCTTGCATTTCTATAACCCGCCAGCGTTTCCTTGCCAGGCCTCTGCCGGAGGCACCCTTGCTGTGCACCGATCCTGCCACAGCCTCTGTCTCTCCTGTCCCCAGCAAGCTGCAGCATCTGGTTTTCGCTGCCTGGCTCTCCAGCTGCATTTTACTGTGGTACAGGGGGTCCAGAGACTTTCCCCGGGCCCCCCGCATCCCCAGCTGCTACTCCTGGCTCGGCCCACGGGAGAGCTCTTGGGGTGGGGGGCGAGTGCCAGGTGCCCACGAGGTTATTACAGACAGGGGTGAAGGTGAAACTAGAGGTTTATTGCGCACAGCGGGCAGGGGGCTGGGAAGGAAGGGAGCTCGCGCCGTGGGTCTCCACCATATTACCTTTAATTATACAAATCGCTCCGGCTTTATATCACCGTATCAATGACATGAAACACCAGCATGTATTGATCCAGCCCTGCAACGCAGCGCCCGGGGCCGGGGGGCTGCGGTGTTTCTGAACGCCGCTCCACCAGCCCTGGCAGCGTCCGTCCGTGGAGATGGGTTCCCTCCTCCCCAGAGTCTGCAGACGCTTCCCCGCCCCTCGGGTCCTCCGGGCAGGGCCCACTGCCGCGGGCAGTCCCCAGGCAGCACCGTTTGTCCCGGGGCTGCCGCGCCGAGCACGTCCAAGCCCTGCCCTCCCAGGGCCTGCTTGCCTCCGCCTGCCACCTGCAGCCATGGCCCTGGCCGGAGGCGGCTCGGTCTGTCCTGGGCGGCGCGTCCGGGGCCGGCCCAGGTCCTGCCAGGCTCCCCGGCGACGCGGGCCTGTCCGTGTCTCTTTGTGTGGTGTGTGTGGCTTTGCCGTCCTTCCTCCCGCTCCTCCTCCTCGTCCTTCCTGAATCCGTAATCGTCTAGCTCCGAATCGCCGTCTTCCTGTCTCGGTCTTTACTCTGCGGAGCAGGGGGAGAGGGTCGCGTTAGACAAACACACCTGGGGCCGGCAGGCGCGGGGCGGAGAGCTCGGCAGGCCCCGCCGGGGTTCCCACGGCATTTCGCCCCTTTGCATGCACCGGGCTGGGAATGCAAAGGCCCCAGCAAGCCCCCCGCCTCCCTCTCCTCTCCCCTTCTCTCGGGCACCCAGAATCCAGCCTCCCCCCTTCAGGGCACGGCCACCGGAGCACGCCCGCGCCAGAGCCCGAGGACAGCCAAGTATCCTTCCTAGGTCCCGGGACCAGCCAGGTGCAAAGCCAGGTCTGGAGACCTTCCTGCAGCCCCAGGACAGCATCCCCGGGGCCACGAAGGTGGCCAGGACACAGCGTGGGCAGCGTTTCGGAAAGCCTCTTGGCATGTCTGTCACTGGCACGGACATGCAGCCCTCTTTGCCTGGGCCTTGCCTGGGCACTGGAGACTCCAGGCTGGGCCTGTGCAGGCTTGTAGCATCCATCGGTGCCCCCCACCCCGAACCTGCTGCCTGCGGACACGGCGCATTCGGGGCCTTCCCCCCGGGCCGGGCTGCGTTCGGCGGGGCTCCCGCAGCTACCGCGCACGCTGCCTCTATTGCGACGCTTCCTTTGTTACGGTGGGGGGTGGCAGGGGGAAGGGGAGCGGGAGGGGGAAGGGGAGTTCAGCTCCGAAACGGTGAAATTAAATTTCCCAGATGTTCAGGCCCCAGGAGTTCTCGTGCTGTCTGGAGAGGAAATGGGGATTCGGAAAATCCCGCCTCATATTTTTTCCCCTATCACCTTGCCTTTCCGCTGCCATTAAGCGCGGCAGGAACAGTAAATTACAGGGCGGCGGAGCTGGCCCATCTCATCAATAGCGCAGGCCAGGGGGCGGGAGGGGACGTGCACCCAGGCACCGGGGATGGGGGGGCCGTGCTCGCCGCCCCGTGCATGGCAGGCTCGTGCCCTTCGGCCTGTGCTGCCACCGCTTCGGTGCCGTCTGTTCGCTTTGCGTGCAACCCGGGTGCCCGAGGTGTCCTCGAGCCGGCTCCCGCCAGCCCCAGCTCCGCTCAGAGTGCAGGTCCCAGGTCCAGGCCCTGTTCACTCGGTGCTGCCATCTCGTCTCGGTACATCTAATGATTGCACGCCCTCCGTCGCAGGCAGGAGCTGGGTGATCGGGGAGGGAGGAGGCTGGAGCCGGCACGCGGCTCTTGCCCCGGTGGTGCTGGCTGCGAGGGGGCAGGGTGGGGCAGTGGAAGGCCCCGTGCTCTGTCCAGGGGCCATGGAGGTCATCCCAGACCAGAGCCTGGGGCAAGCAAGCCGGTCTGTGCCGTGCTGGCATCTCAAACCTCCTTTTCCCTGTGCTGTCAGGCCAGAAGCTTCTGCTGGGCAGCCGGTTGCTTGTGCTCGGGATGCCGGGTACCAGCTGGCATGTGCAAACCTGGCTGGCTTTGAGCACGAGCTGTCCAGTGCCCCCTCCCAATCTCCAGTGCCCCTCATCCTGCAGCTGGTCACCCAGCACCTCCCCAGCTCCCTCGCTAGTCCAGCCACCAGCATCCCCAAACACAGCCGGCTTCCCGGTGCAGAGGATGCTGACAGCAGTCGCTGCCCCGTCACGAGCGCCGGCACGGATGCTGCTGGCGTCGCCGCATTTATGCCACACCCTGGCACCCCTTGGGGACTCGGTCTTGTCTCGTCTGATCCCAGTCGCAGCAGGTGCTGACCGGGACAGTGGCCGCGTCTCCAGCCGATCCCAGCCCTGGAGCTCTCGTCCATCCTGGATGAGCAGGAGCCAGCCGGGAGTGCGGGCACGTCAGGGCTGCTGCGCTGACCGGGGCTCTGAGGCCTTCCTGCTCCATGGAGTCGCTCAAACTGCTGCCTCTTGTGCTCATCTTGTCCCTGCACGGCCTCTGTGCCCTGGGGATGTCCTAACGCCTGCCTCGGGCAAGGGCAGGAGCTCGAGGCCGACCCTGAACTTTGCAGATGCTTGGAGCAGACCAGACTCCTGTCTGGACTTGCCCCGTGTCCGGGGTTCGTTCCCCTGCTCCGAGCTGTGGGGGAGCCCGGAGGCCCTTGTCTCCAGCCCTCCCAGCGCCACCTCGCCACCTCCACAGGGACGGAGCAGGGGGCACGGGCGGCCGCTCCGCACCTCTTCTACCACGTGCCTCAGCACACGCGTGATCTGTGCAGGGAGCCAGCCCCTGACTCTAGCCGTGCCCCCGGTGCCTGCCTGGGCTCTACCCGCGGGACCTCACCCCACGCAAAGGAGGCTGCTGCAGAGGCTGGGTCCGTGCCCCCCACCTCCTCCGCATAGCCCGGGCTGGGTGGGTGGCACGGGCCTGTGGGGCTCTTCGGGGCCGTGCCGCGCTCTCTGGCTGCAGGGCATCGGCGTGACGGGAGAGCCATGCACCACCGGGCTCAGCAGCCCAGGACTGAGGCCCTGCTGCTCTGGGCTAAACACGTCCACGCTGGAGCTGTTCAGGAGCGGCTGTGCAGAGGAGCCCTGCCCGCCAGCCTCCCCTTCGCTCTGCAAGGACCCCCAACAGCCGAGGGATAAGCACCGGGGAGCCCCGTGCAGCCGGGAGACAGCCTCCGAAACGCACGATGCCGGGGGCTCCTAGATGAGCCGTTTGCCGGCCGCGGCCCAGGTGCTTTGCTCCGTGGCCGTGGCCGGTCTCCAGCTGAGTAGCCCTTTTGAAGTTCTCGGGGCAGGGATAAGGTTACAGGTGAGCCTTTGCTCCTGCTGCCCGGCCCTGAAACGTGAGAGCAGCTGGGCTTTCTTCAATCCCTTCATGGCTCCCGCAGGGTCTCGAGAAGCCTTTCAGTTCCCAGGTGGTCTCCGCTGGCTGTCCCGAGGCCCGGTGACCTCTTTGCCCCCCGCATGGAGGGCTCCAGGCGGAGCTGGTGGAGCGCATGGGGCTGAGGAAAGCTGGTAGCTGTGCACGGCACTCGGTGCTAGTAGGGAGAGGCCAGGGCAGTTCTCCCGGCACCGCGCTGCAGAGCTCCTGCGGTCTCTCCCAGCCCGGCAGGGGTTGGGGTTTGCTGGGGATTTTTCAGCGGGTCCCAGGGGCGGCCTGGCCCGCAGCAGTGCCCTTTTTCCCGTTGCCGTCCTGTGGCAGCAGCACGTCGGAGAGCAAACGTCCCTGCCCCGTGGGGTCCGCACCCAAGCGAGGCAGCGCTGGCCGTGAAGGGAGGGGAGAGCCGACTCCTGCCGCCTGAGCTCCAGGAAACCCAAAACCTCCTGCGGTGACAAGCCAGCCCCGCTCCCTGCTCCTGGCACAAGGGGCCTGGGGAAGGGGCCTTCGTTCCTCCTTCTTCGTGCTGTTTTTTGCGGTTTCCCCAGCGCCTAGCAAACCGGGGCCAGGACTTGTGACCCTCCATCCCTCCCAGCTGGAGCACGCTGGGCTTGTCCAGCACAGCGACCTGGGAAACTCGGAGGCAGCTGAGCTGAGAGGCGACGTATTTGGGGCAGCACCGCCATTGCTCCATCCTAGCACAGTGTAAGGGCACATCCTTGCCTGTTGCTAGCACTTTCGGACGCCGCTAGAGCAGATGGGGCCCTCGGCGAGGCGTCTGAGCGTGCATCCTCACAGAGCATCTCTGCAGCCCGCCGACGGGGACCATGTCCTGCATGAGCTGCATGGTGTGATGCAGGGAAACTGAGGCAGGCGCTTCACCTCGGGGCCTGCCGGTGTCAGTAGGATGGGGATGATGCTGGGCTGTTGCTGGGGGGTGTCAGTGGAGCCCGTGATGGCCAGGCCGTGCTCACCACCTTGCTGCCAGGCTGCACATCTGTGCCAAGTCCCCATGGGTTCGCGACACCCTAAGTCGGGGTGGGTACTCCCACATCTGGCCTCAGGGAGAGCTGCCAGATTTGACACACGCGTGTGCCAGCAAGCGCCGTCCAGGGTGGAGGAAGTGCCAGGAATAGGTCCCTCTGTACTCACTTTCGGGGTAGCCTCCGCTTGCGAGACACAGGCCCGTGCCGTGGAGATGGCTGTGGGGGAAGCAGCATCCTGACAGGCCCATGTGGCAGACGGGGCTGGGCCGCTTGGACAGCGATGCCTACCAGCCGCCCTCCTCCAGGGCCTTGCTGTCAGCGGGCCCCGGGGGAATGGGGCAGGGGCATGCCTTGACACTGGATGCTGCATGTGGAGGGAGCCAGATTGCAGAAAGACTTTTGATGCCCAAATCCCAGCAGTCCCTGCATCCCTGATGTCTGTGGGCGCTGGCCCGTGCTGAGGCAGCGGCGACTCAGGGTCCTGGGGTTTGCCAAGGGCAGGAGGCTCCCTGTCTCCCAGACGTGGCCGGCGTGGCTTCCCGAGTGCCAGCAGCGGGTGCAGGCAGACTCGGCGACGCGGCGCTCGCAGCTGCAGGGGAGATGGATTGCACTTTTTTGCTCCCTATCTCAGGAGACCGCTCGCTGTGCAGACAAGTGTTTTCTAGCAGCAGAAGAGCTCGTTACCTCCCAGCTCGTGGTAAAACCAAATTTCCCTGTCTCCGCTGACACGTGTTGGTGTCTGCTCTGCCTCGATAGTGAAGAGGACTGAAGAGGAGGAGACTGGCTGCACGGGGAAGGAAAGGGCCTAACCCAGGGCAGCGGTGGGGCAGGAGGCTGACGGCTGAAAGCGCTGTACCAGGGCTGTGGGTGCCGGCACTAGAGACGGGCAGAGCCGGTTGGGCAGAGGACGCGCAAAGGGCATCTCTGCTCTGCGCAGCATTTGGCACGTAGGTACGGGTGAGCTGCAGGAGCCCAGGCTGGGGACGGGGACGGGGACGGGCCTGTGCGCTCGTCTCCGGTACGCTGCGTTGCGTAGGCACGGCCAGCACCACTGCCGTCGGGCGTCAGTCTCCACCCGGCCCCGCCGCTCTCCAGGCAGCGCCGAGACTCGGTGAGATGAAGTGAGGTTGCTCTGAGAGCTGCTGCCGGGGCCTTGCTCCTTGCTGCCCCTCGTCGAATGGATCTCAGGAGACCTCCTAAGGGCGCAGGCGAGCCTGGGGCGCCCGACCCGCTTGGCTGCCTTGCGCTGGAGGAGACAGCCTGACGGGTCTACCTCCCTCGGAGCTGTCAGGTTGGTCATCTCCACGGCGCGACCCAGGCTCCATCATCTGCAAGGCCCTGGGCGGTCAGCAAAGGCTTCCCCTCTGCAGCCATTCCTGGCTGGGGCTGGAGACGGGCACGCACATGCTGTAACCCTCCCGCCGCCCCTACACGCAGGCCTTGCTCTCCACCGTTTCTTCGCCTGTCCGTGGCCCAGGGCAGCCAGACCCAAACCTCCCAGGCTCAGGACTGGAAGGGAAAGCCTGTCCCATGTCCCCCCCTGCACTGCGGGGTGCTTTCTCCGGAGCACCGCGGGCTCCAGTGCTCCTTCACACCTTCCCTGGCTTTCTTGCAAGGAAAGGAAAGGAAAGCTGTGCCCAAGCTCTGGGCTGAACCGTGTCTCCCGCAGCTCAGCTCCCGGCCTCTGCTCCACAATGCGCTGCGCCGTACAGGTCCCAGCAAGCCGCCGAGCCAGGCTGGGGCCGGGAGCCCTGTGGACAGCTGGTTTGGTGCCCTCCCTTGCACCCGCTGCTTCTGCCCTGCCCTGTTTAGATGGGCTGGGACATGCAGACTCCTCCATTGCCTCATACAGCAGATCAGCAGCCTGCCTCCCCACGGCCTCCACAAAGCCGTCCAGCCTTTCCCTGGCCCGGGCAGCTGTCTCAGGCCAGGCACGGGGCTGGGGGTCATTCTCTGGCCTGCATGGATTTGCAGGGCCCATCCCCGCCATGCAAAGCATCGGCAGCTACCGGTGAGTTTTGCCCTGACGCCATGCATTGCAGCCCTCGCATCCTGCAGCCTGGGGCCCCCAGCATGAGCGCCTCACACCAGGGAGACGGTCGTGGCACCTGCCTTTGCCCTGGCAGCGCCATGCCCGGGGCTGCAGGGAATCACGCTTGCCGGCTGCAGCCAGGCCCGTCCTGCTTGCCGCGAGTTCTCCCTGCCCGTCCTCTCCCTCTCTGCTCCCACCCCGTGCTGTCCCCAGCTCAAGCCGTTCGCTCGGGTCACCGGCCTCGCTGCCCCCCTCAGCAGGTAGCGGACACGGGGCAGCACCTGCGGCTGCAGGCTGGGTGCCGCAGGGCTGCGCTCCATCCTCTCCTCCTGCCACCGCCGTGCTTCGCTAACGAGGGGGCTCGTGCTGGCCAGCCCGTCCTCCAGCCCCGCTCATCTCCGCAGCCCCCGCTACATTCCCAGCCGGCCTCCCCATCTCCTGCCGGCTCCGCTTTCCTCCCCGGCAGCACGGGTGGGTGTTAGCGGCGGCTCTCCGTGCGCGCGGGGAGGCAGCTGCATGCGCCGTGCGGTTTCTGGCTTGCTCGGGGGTCTGGTTTGGAGACGGGGCTGGCTGCGTACAGCATCGCCGCAGCCCGGCTGCACCCCTTCCCTCCCCTCCATGCCCAAGCCCCTGGCCGTGTCCAACCGATGACCCAGGAGCTGGCAGCCACGGCAGGGCCCACCCTACC